TTATTATTATTTTTTCTCTATCTTCTCTCTACTATTTGCAATTCGTGCGCGTCTCTGAACTGACCTTACAGGCGCCACAGTCCAGCCACACTCTGGTTCGCTCGCACTCCTTTTTGTTCCCTAATTTTTCCTTTTCTTCTTCCCCTCATTTCCAGCTTTCTCATCCCCCTCGACGGGTTACGTCCTCTTCCCTGTGCGACTGTCATTTCCCTCTTTCTTTGACTGCTATCCCTGCTGCAGACCTATCTCGTCTGCAAGTTTACACGGGACTCTATACTGTGCACTGACTTGCGAATCTTGTGCCATCCCATCACCATCAATTGTTGGCTGATCCCGTTCCCTGAACCGAAACGCATCCACGGTACTGTCACCGCCGGTATCCGTTCAACTATTGCTTCAGCCCCAACCCTCGACATAGTATTCTCCGCCGGTCCCCTATTTACACATTACCCTTTCGGGCCGCTTCCTTGCTTCCCCTTTTTCACACCGGCCGAGCAATTGTCCGCAGCATCCTCAGCCACCCCCCCCCTTCCGACCACCTCCCACCTCTGAGCCGAACACGCTGCTCGGCTTGCACTTCGTGATCTTGGGGCAAAGGTGCCTGGTAGCTGGTGCTTAGGTTCTGCATGCATTGGGATGGCATGATCGGGGAGAAATCTAGCGAATTCATTCTCTTTAATCTCACCAAACAAGCACACCTGTACCCTTAACTTGGTTCCAGCTGGACTGGCCTTGTTTCCTTGAGTTAAATTCATTGCTGTTGGGATGGCGGGAGCAGCAGCGACAGCAGCATTTTCTTCAGATGTTTGGTTGTCGTCCGGTGTAGATTCGAACCAGCACCAGTGGGAGTTTTCCGTCCCGCTTGCACCAAATGTAAGTCCCATTTGGCCCATGTTTGTCTGCCGGTCTCGGCCTTTGTTTGCATTCTTGTGATAGAAAGCTCCCGCCACTTTCCCTTGTAGGGTTGATGATCAGCTAACCTTAATCTTCGGTAGAGTGCCGTTCGTCGTTCTAAGTCCCGGTCTTCATACGAGTCCACCAACCGATCAAGACGTAATTCTAGGGGATCCCGTAGCTCCTCACTGTCAAAGCATGCCTACGCACATGAGTCAGGATATATGAGTTCTCGAGGACGAAGAGATGTTAGCCATGGCCGGCGCGGAAGCGAAGCTGGGAGCTCGCGGGATATCTACGGACAGGATGTGGCGGGTCGGAACATTGGCAATGTCAGGAACTCGGAAGACACATATAACGGATCTCTAAGGAAGAGTGAACTGAAGGAGGGTGCCGGACCATACCCGGAGGACGCAGACGATACAAACTGGATCCATCGTGACAAACTAGCGAAAATCGAAAGTGAAGAGCTGCAGCAGATCCTCTTCCAGCGCCGAGTAGGGTCAGGGAGTGTTAGGTCTGGGCGTGGCAGACATCATGATATGCACCACAATGAGGTTACGACCCCGCCAATAGAACAAATGGAGCCCTGGCCAACCCTGGAAGGCCAACAAGGTATCACTTCCTCCCCGACCGATCTTGATGATAACGCACGCGGCAACTGGGACTTTCGCAAGCCTGAGGAGGTCGCGGCGGACGACAGCGCATCTAACATCTACCGCAACCCTGGTCTTCGTAAGAGCTCGTCTCGAATTCCCATTCCCTCTAGCACCGCGCCTATGAACCGCTCGCGCGCGAATACTATTAGTGACGAGGAAACCCTCTCATTTGGTATGCCTCGCAGGGCTAGCGAGCCTATCACGGTGGATTCGACAGATACCTCGCCTCCGGCTGCTGGGAGCCGGCCTGCTAGCCGGGGTGTCCAAGCCCAGATCAACGCAGCTAAGAAGACGCCCGCTAAGGGTGCAGCTGGCACTGGGACTCGGAAAACCTCCGCTCCTGCGTCAACAAGGAGGCCGCCGCCCCGAAGTCGTACTACGTCCAATAACAATTCTCAGCGCCAGGGGAAACCGGGTGATCGTCCGAAAACTGCTGTCAACCGCCCTGAAGGGGACCCCCCGTGGCTGGCGACCATGTACAAGCCAGACCCGCGCCTACCCCCCGATCAGCAAATGCTGCCGACTCATGCGAAGCGGATGCAGCAAGAAGAATGGGAGAAAGAGGGCAAGACACCAACTACTTACGATCGCGAGTTTGCTCCGTTAGCGGTTGGTCATGATGGTCCAAGGCCTGTGGAGAATATTGAGATGGTGGAGGATCCAGAGAAAAAAGAAGAGCCCACGCCTTCACAACCCCAACCAGAACCACCAAGCGCACCGAAGACCCCAGACCCGATCAACCGACCAAATACAGGCACAGGGTATAGTCCCATGCCCAAACTGCAAGAACCTTCCTCAGCGGCTCCGCAAGCGGCATTGACACCCAAATGGAGTCCGCCCGTTGTAACGGCCGAGCCACCGCCGCCAAAGGAGAAGGGCTGCGGATGTTGCATTGTGATGTGACGTTTCACATCGTACTTCGTTCCCAAGCTATTCGTTATTTTTGATGGCGACCCGTTCTTAATCTTGCCTTTGTGGAATTTTTTACCCATTTCGCATTATATTCCTTCGGTTAGCGTGTCAGGTTGGTTGTTGTTGATCACCAGTGCTCTGTGCTTTTAGGACCTTTTTAATTTCCTGTCCTTTTTCTCTTTTCTCTTTTCTTTTCTTTTCTTGTATCGTTCCATCCGGATTTTCCATTTCTTGCGTTGTGGCTAGTCGCTCCTTGCATGATTCCCCTGTGTCTGTTGTAATTCATATTTCCTTCCATGTCAATCCAAAGAATACTATTGACTCGTGGTCTCTGCAAGCTCCCAGGTCAAGAGCCGTGATCCCCTGGGTCATATACAAGTGAAGCAGCCGGGGGGATACTTCTGATAACGACTTCACGATGCACTCCTTCGATTCTCTTCCGATTGACTAATTTGACCGTAAAGTTGAGGTTCATTCCCATTCCCATTTGCCTTTTTCATTTACTTTGCATTAGAAACACCCAGCACCCAGTTCCTCGAGACTTACATCCAATCCGAGCGAGGATTGACAGACAGCTATTGAAGCAAATGACCAGCAGTTTTACTGGAACTGACATACCAAATATATCTATATAGCAGACAAACAAGCTATGAGTATTTTAGAGATTGATCGGTAGTAATAGACATCATACCCTACGAGTACTACGTATTCAGAAGTAGTGCTAATTGTGAGCCTGAGGCCTGTATCGAAGATCATCGCCCGGTCATCTTACATAATCCGCGCCTAACATCATTTCCCGGGCAAATTAGTCAACCGCGGGAATCGCAAGGAACAATCAAGTATACTCCCCGTCCGGTCACCTGTATATAAACCCTGCTCCACCCCTCCCATCTCCCCTCCAATATCCTCTCCACCGGAGACCCCAGTTGCCCACCATTTCTTCCATCTTCTCTCGTCTCTTCGGGTCCTTCGCCGGTCCCACCCCAGCCGCCATGTCTGCCGCTAAGACCAAAGCCCAGGGCATCATCAACGACAACGCCGTCGGTAAGCTTGACCCCTCTCCCGCCCAGGTAACAAAAAAGCCACGCCTCTGACGCAAGACCAAAAAAACTTTAGTCGTCTTCTCGAAGTCCTACTGCCCCTACTGCTCATCCAGCAAGAGTCTCCTCGACAAGCTGAAGGCGAAATACGTCGCCATTGAACTCGATAACGAGAGTACGTCTAACCCCGACCGCTTTCTAATTAAAACTCTATATATACCGGAATGCCCCCGGTGATGTCCGACAGAGACTAATCTTGTTTTCGTGTCTATAGGCGACGGCGCCGCCATCCAGGACGCCCTTCAGGAAATCACCGGCCAGCGCACCGTCCCTAACATCTTCATCAAGCAGAAGCACATCGGTGGAAACTCCGATCTGCAGGGTCGCAGTGATCTGCCTAAGTTGCTGGAGGACGCTGGTGCTCTTTAGATTATGTTTTGAGAGCGTTGTGGATACCATAGACGGAATGCATTTGGTTATATGATATCTATCTTGCTTGCGATGTGTCGGTTCGGTGATTGACCTTGAGGATCGGGGTTTGTAGTCGCCGGGTTACCCCGCGGAGCGTGGTGGGGGTGATTAGTTCTGTAGTCTGCGCCAATGTATGTGTGTAGGGAGTTTGTGTAGTTGGTGAGATTGTTGGGTTGGTGTTTAGGGTTTCGGCGTTTGGTCGGAGGTCGTAGTCTCGATTATTCCGCAGAGGAACTGGTGTCTGGAAGCTTTAATGCGTAGACTGATAGAATCTATATGAGAAGAGTGAGAGTGATTGATTGCCTACTATTACATGTACAAGATAGAATTACACAATCTTCTGCACGACAGTCCCAACCGGCCGTTCAACAATACCCATCACCCCATCCACAACACTCTGTCTAGCACCCTCGCTCGAAACATTCTTACCAGCGAGATAATTCAGCCAAACCAACCGACTGATCCGCTCATCGGACACGCGCCCCAAGAACCGCACCGGCTTGGCCGGGTCCGGGTGGAAAAGCGCATCCAACTCCCCACGGCCACCACGCACAAGCAACAGCGTCTGCCCCTTGGGCACATTCTTCCTCTGTCCACCTCCAAACAGACTCTTGAAATCATTCAACGCAGTCCCAAACGACTCATCCTGGAACTCACTCTGCGCACCCTCCAACGCCTTCGCATTGGCCTTCTGCGCCCGCCCTGTAATCCCCCTCACCCAGCCATCGCGCAAATGCAAGAAATCCGTATTCCGCGTAGGAACAATCCGGAACGCAGTCTTGAGCCCATCCCCCCGGATGACGGCATCCCAGACCTCATCGCCGCGCTCCGCATCCAAAAGCAACTCCTTCAAGCCCTGTCTCTCCGTCGAAACCAACGATGTCGCAGACGTCGCGCCCGGCGTATCAACAACCCCCTCCTTCGCACCCGGCGGGTTGACCGCCGTGCGCACAAGCCGCTGCTGCAGCTCCGAGATATCGCTCTTGGCCACATACATCCCGACCACATACACCTGGATCTTGAGGAACGACACCGTCCGAATCCCCAGCCCAAGCAGCTGATACTCCTCCTCCTCGACGGACTCGGGCACCTCATCCCCGGCCTTCAACGCCCCCGCATCAAGGTCCTTCGGTAGCCGGATCACGCTCGGAAAAGTTGGAATCGTGCTCGTCCCCGTGGAAACCTCCTCCGCGCCGTCTTGCCCTGCACCCGTATCACGGACGCGTTGCCCCCGAATCCCGCCGGTCCGTCCAGTTTCATCGCCCCCTCTTTCTGCACCGGCACTTGGTTTTGCTCTTCCTTCGCGGACGCCTGGTCGAGGCCGAATAGATCCAGCTTGATCACCCCGTACATCGCCGCCGCGCAGGCTACTATTCCCGCTGCGGAAAGCGTCATTGTGTTTCGGGACCGGGCGATCTCGGCTTCGCGGGCGCGCGAGCTGGCGGAGTTGCGGAGCGGGTTGTTGGGTGTGGAGCGGAGGGTGCGGGTGGTGCTGAGGAGGCGCTGCGGGGTGGGGCTTGCGCGAAAGTATTGGCGCCGGATGCATTGTGTGCAGGCGCGGAGGGGCGTGCCCTGCATTGTTGATGTTGGTGGTCGCATTGTTGTTTGGGTGTTGAGTTGGTGGTTTGTTGTTTGAGTTGCGGATGGGCGGATGTTGTAGGGTAACCTTGGTTGGGCTTGGCGGTGTTATTTTTCACGTGACTTTAAGTGCCCTTGATTATGCTTGGTGGTTTGGACGTTTGGTTGTAGGTTTTATTTTAGGGGGTTATTGGTGACTATGGTGTGGTTGTTGAGATAGTGGTTGAGTTGGGAGAGTGTGTGTAGGATCAAGTACTGATGGCATTGGATCGGGAGTTATACATGGATATTCTAAAAAACCAAACCAGGCTATGAAAGCAATACACTACGACACTACAACTCTATGTCTCCCGCCACCACTCACGGTAATCGTTGCCGTATCATCGACATAGTACACGCCCTTGAAGATATCGTTGCCGTCAATCGTGATCGACGGCTTCTCCGAGCTCCTCACATATGGCAACGTCAGGTTCCCCTTCGTCCCAGGCGGAACGGAAAACTGCAGCGTGTACCCATCCGGGCTCTTATCCCAGGACGCCTGGAACTTGCCCAGCGAAGTCGTGAACCCGCCCTCGACGGTCTTGAGATCGCCAAACTGCGGTGCAATTTTCCACGTCAGGCCGCGCGGCGACGTGACGGAGAGACCCAGGAGGTAGGTTGTCAAGGCATTCGTTGGACCGGCGGACCACCCATGTGCATGCGAGACATACGATGGGTCGTTACTGTACCCGCGGTCGGATCGGTATCCGAAAGAGCCGTCTACCAGATATCCCTCGATCACTGTGCTCTCGGTGCCGTTGGGATTGTTGAGGTACCAGCCCCAGCTTCGTCGGATGAGCTCCAGCGCTCGGGCGGACTGACCAATCTCGAAATGGCCCTGTATTTCAAAGGATGAGATGAATGGAGAGATGTTATTCGGTAACTCGGGTGTCTCTGCGCCGATCGGGGTCCAGTTTTGCAGTAGATTCTTGGAGATCCTGCTGGCTCTGTCTGGGTCAACGACTCCGTAGAGAAGGGCTAGACTGTTTGCGTCCTGTGGGTGTAGAGCTGTGATTGTGGCGTTGTCTTTGAATGCACCGTATTCGTCGTCCCAGCAATACTCGTTGATGGACTGTGCCAGGTCTGTTGCTTGGGCGTTCCATTTGTTGGTGAGGCTGGAGCCTGCCCAGGAGGCTAGCTGTGCACCTGTTGTCAGGGTATGGTATAGTCTGATATTTTGTTAGATACGAGGAATATTGTAGAGGATGGGCGGTACTCACATCATCTGTGCTTCACTGTTGCTATATCCCTGCTGCCATCTGGCCCAGTCGCGCGTGCCAGTGACATTCAGCAGACCGGTTGAGTTATCTACTTTGTTGTAGATATAGTCCATAGCCTTTTGGTACTTGTTCCAGTTCTTCGATAGAAAGGATGTATCGTTAGTGTACAGCAGATAGTTATACGTTCCTATCATGGACCACATGTGGTATGTGTCCGAGTTTTTTTGACTCAGCGGCGGTCCTGATTCGTCAAACGCGCCCGTTGAGTTATCCTGTATCATTGTTAGATGCGAAATGTAGGTATTTGCAGAAGGGGTATATGTACCTGAGTATCGTACATTGTCTGCAAGGCGTTCTTTACGCTTTCCAAATCGCCAGTGCTAACGAATGCCGCAGGAACCGCCACGCCCATGTCGCCCGGCCAGACGGCACGATCTCGCTTCGCACCGTCCACGAGAATCGTATCTCCAGGTCCCATGGTCGCATTATTGGCCCATCCTTTCGTAAGCATAGGCACCTGACGGCCCGTGTCCACGGGGACGGCATTGGTCTGCAGCGTATAGGCGCCACTGTACCAGATGCGATTCAGGAGATCATCATTGGAATGGAAGTACCCTTGGTACGCCCGCAGATTCGACCAGGTAGGCTGGAAACCAATCTCCAAGCTCACGGCATCAACATCGACCGAGACTTGATCCTTTGTGACCAAGAATACCGACAAATACCGAAACCCTCCGCGAAGAGACTCATCCGGCATAACATACGATGCGGACCCATCTTTCGTGAAATTAGCATACAAAGCACCGTCAGGACCCTTAAAGGCACCATTGGAGGAATCCGACCATTCTCCGATCCAATTTTTCGCTTCGGAGAAAGCCAAGCCCAGGGCACCGCTGCCGCCTTTGGAGGTGTAATTCAGCGTGACGATGCCGCCCACCTCGATCCCGAAGTCGAACACCACTTCCGATCCATTTCCGCGCAACGTGTACGGTTTAGACTTTTGATAATCGACCGTGGCGTTCGGTCTGGCCAGCGATAAGATCGTCCGCTTAGGGCTGACGGTTCTGGACGATGGCGCGTAAATGTTGTCCTCCCACGGCCCTGGAAAGGCGCTATCTTTCGGTCCGGCGCATGTGACATCTCGCCAGCATTTTTGCGCCAGCGCAAATTGAAAGACCGCCAGCAGACACAGGAGGAGAGAAAGCCTGGACCCCAGAGCCATTTTGGCCATTTGATGGGAAATGCCCAAGGGGACTCAGCAGGTTTTTTACCCGATGGGAAAGACGGATGGGAGAGAGGGTACACCGCAAGAAAGCATTCATTATTATGATTTTTTTTATGCTGGTCCGGCGGATACGTGGAATTAAGTAGTTTACTTGTCCGGCTGACTTTTTTATATTAGAGGCTTGCCCAATCGGTCTTGGAATGTTTTGCAGGGGAGGGGAAGAGGGGTTGGTTTTGGGTCGTTTGCCCTTGGGTTACGCTATATAAATGCCGGATTGCCCAATATCGGTAAAGTGTTGGCTTCGAACGGTTCGTCCAAGACTCCAGCGATCAATTAGCGTCTGCGCTGGAGACCTTTTCGGCTCTCCCCGTTTGGCCCCACTTCCTCACATTCTCTTCCATCTTTCACCGTTATTTATTAATCCCAATACGAATATTAATACTAATACTAATATTTAATCTGAATCATTAATGGATCCTCCATAGTCCACTGGTCAGACAGATGGAGTCCCCCCGGCCAAGTCGGCCTCTCTTCCCTCTCGTTTCGTTTCCTCTTTTCGCCTAATCTTTCCCTGGTTCTCGGAGAATTCCTGTTATTCTCTAGCGAGGCAAGGAGTCAACAGGTATGACATCAGCCAAGTACTGAAAGATTTAGCGAAGGATTCAATTCTCAGGCACCGTTGATCCGTTCCTACATCGGTCGCTATAATTCCATCCCCGGGGGGAAGGGGTGGCCATATTTGAGCAGTGGCGTTTCTATGGTGCATCAAGAAGCATTATTGGCGGAGAATATATTCAAGCTTCTGTCAGGAGAGCTTCCTATCGGGGCAGCGATTGACACCTTCGTTGACGCACAATCGTCCCCCTTCCTCTCGAAGCCGATCCTCTCCGCATTTTTGCGATTTAGCTGGACTGACATGCTTCGTCGTTGGGGCACAGATCAAAGAATCTCGGTGCATCTGCCACCGAAAGTTTAGCAAAAGTCTGATTGATATCATCGAAATGTGGAGATAAATAGAATGTATACTTGATGCGTATACTAGTATAGTACTAGTAGTCTGTAGACCTGTGGAGCTCCGTGTCATCACTTCTCTGCGCAATAAAAGATCCCCCAACGATGCGTTGGCTTAGCACTTCTCTTGTCGCGGCTTCCCTGTCGCTAGGGCTATCGGCTATTGGCCATGCGTCCCAGATCGACCACAAGGGCAATATCTGCACGGTCAAAGCGAACGGAAATCAGACGGACGATGTGCCGAGACTCCTGGAAGCGTTTCAGAAATGCGGCCACGGGGGCACCATTGTCTTCCCCGAAGACCAGTCGTATTGGATTGCTTCGCGCCTAAACCCAATCCTGAGCGACGTGACAATCGAATGGCGGGGGAAATGGACGGTGCGACTTGCATGCTTTTCGACCCTTCGTACCATGTGCAACTAACCGACTTCTTCCCACAGTTCTCCGATGATCTAGAGTACTGGCGCAATAACTCCTACCCAGTTGCTTTCCAGAACCATGCTGCAGGCTTCGTGATCACCGGGCACAACATCACCATCGATGGATACGGCACCGGAGGCATCGACGGCAACGGCAATGTCTGGTATACCGCTGAAGCGGGCACCACTCAGCCCGGAAGACCGATGCCCTTCGTCTTCTGGAACGTCTCGGATGTGCATGTTGACAATTTCTACGTCAAGGACCCGCCGCTGTGGGCGCTCAATATCATGAACGGCACCGATATGCAGTTTAACAACATCTACTGCAATGCGACAGCAGTGGATGCGCCCTACGGGGAAAACTGGGTCCAGAATACAGACGGGTTTGGTAAGTAGAGCTATGCATCCCATGTCAATGTGCATGGACTAACACGTGTCGTCCTGCAGATACAATGGACGCGAGAAACATCCGTCTCACCAACTTCGTATATCAAGGTGGAGATGACTGCGTCGCGGTCAAGCCCAGGTCCTACGATATTGATATTCACAACGTCACCTGTCGTGGCGGCAATGGCATCGCCATCGGTAGCGTGGGCCAATATAAAGAAGACTCGAGCGTAGAGAATGTGCGAATCGACAAGGTCAAGGTACGTATCTCCCGGTTCATCAATATATCCCGTCACAACTGTCACTGACGAAAACAGCTCATCCGATACAACGAAGACATGCATGCCAGCGCCTACATCAAGACATGGATTGGCGTGCCCACCCCGCAGGACTCCTACGAGAGTGCCGGTCTCCCCCGCGGCGGCGGCTGGGGCAATGTCAGTAATATCGTCTTCTCGAACTTTGAGATTCAGGGTGCCAACACAGGCCCTATGATTTACCAAAATGAGGGCAATAACGGTTCGTTTGCTGGTACGAGTCTCATGACTGTTTCGGACATTACCTTTGCCAATTTTACGGGCTATGTCGCCAACGAGGACGAGGTGACTTCGACTATCTCGTGTTCCAAGGATCATCCTTGTTATGATATCAAATTTGATAATGTAGTTTTGTATCCGGGAAAAAATGCATCTAAGCCTGGAATAGGCTCTTGCAAGTGGACTACTGACGACGGGGTTCAGGGACTGGAGGGATGTTAAACCTGTGGGTTTTGAATCCGTGAATATTTAGCTGACTGGACATATGATCAGAGATATGTATATAAATCATCAACAGTTACTCAATATGACGAAGACCTATGATAAGATACGTGAAGGCTGGTACGAAGACTGCCAGTTCAGAATTAAATAGCTCTTCCACGTCCTAGCGGCGTCGGTATCAAGGAAAATAAAATCCAGCTTTTGGGTATATACAGAACAAATATGTGGAAAGATTCCAGTGACACAAGAAATAAGCGATTGAGTTAACAGTAACTGACCAGTCCTGTTCCCCAATTGCATGCTGGCTGCCGATATCCCCTCCGCAGATGCAAAGCTCATACTAAGCGCAAATCACGTCAGGCTAACCCACCGACACCCCAATCACCTCAAAGACAGATATCTCAACAACGGAGCGACAACCGTTCGGTTAGTTTAGTTACTATGTCGAAACTGTGGGGTATCTTTGCGCAACGGATGCTGAGAAATAATGCATGGTGTCCCTCAACTATAAGTAGGGCGATAGAGCTGTGTATGGTTCAAGATGTCTCGAAGCTATCTTTCTTGTTCAAACAAACATCAATTGGGCCCCTTTATCAACTCTCAACTGGAATTATCGTACCATGGGTCCCCGATACCGCAGCGTAGCAGTCATTGGCACCGGTCCGTCGGGCGTTTCGGCCGTCAAAGCCTTGAACGATGAGAAGATCTTCGACACCATTCGCGTCTTTGAACGACGGGATCGAGTCGGAGGCCTCTGGCACTATGACCCAATCCCCGACCCCTTTCCGACCTCTACTTCATCAGCTGTGAAGCAGAGTAGAATCCCATCAAACTTCCCAACCTTCACACCCCCGGTACCGGAAGACACAACAGCGCGAACAGCCATCTACGACACCCTCGACAGCAATGTCGGCGCCGGCGCCATGGCATTCACACATTCCTCGTTTCCAGAGGCCAATTCCGCCCTCTCAGTCAGGCAATATGGGAAGGCAAATCCCTCCCGTCCGTTCCGGGTTGTGGCTTCATATCTGGAAGACCTATTCAAGGAGTATCTCCACCTTGTCTCTTTCAACACGACAGTAGAGAAAGTGGAAAAGAAAGACGACAAATGGACGGTTACGCTTCGGAAACCAGGTCAGCTGCGCAACAATCAGCCAGCAGATTACTGGTGGCAAGAGCACTTCGATGCCGTGGTGATCGCATCGGGACATTACAACGTCCCCTGGATCCCGGACATAGCAGGTCTGGACCAAGCCTCCAGGACCCATCCGACGAAGTTCGAACACTCGAAGGCATTCCGCTCGGCAAACGATTACGTCGATAAGAAAGTGATCGTAGTCGGAGGGAGCATATCCTCCGCCGATCTGGTAGCGGATCTACACCCCATCGTCAAGGGACCATTGTATCTCTCCCTGAGAGGCAAAAACGAAGCCTTGCAAGCTGCCTGGGAGCTTCCCAATGTCGAGGGGAAGCCGACGATTGAGCGCGTCCAGACAACAGAAACGGGGGTCAATGTGTTTTTCGCCGACGGGAGTGTCGTCGAGAACGTAGACAAAGTCATATTCGCAACAGGGTACAAGCTCGCATATCCGTTCCTCAGTCCCAATCCCACCACGCCCAACAACCGTGTGGCCGGGTTCTACCAGCATATCTTCAAGATCGGGGATCCATCGCTAGCGCTCGTAGGCCAGGTGCGAGCCGCGATTAGTTTCCGGGTCTATGAGTATCAGGCCGTCGCTGTGGCGCGGTATTTTGCTGGTCGGAACGCAAGGGCTTTGCCTAGTCCGCAGGAGCAAGATCTGTGGGAGGTCGAAAGGCTGAAGTATAAGGGTCCAAACTCACTCTTCCATGAGATTAAGCCTGATTTCAAGGAGTATTTTGATTTTCTCCGTGATTTAGCAGGGCCTCCTGCGCCGGGAACAAGTGCTTATGACTTGCCGGCGTGGGATGATAAATGGGCTGAGCTGGGATTCGGGGTGTTGGGCCTGAAGGATCAATACTGGAGATCTCTGAAAGCTGCTGCAGGACAAGTGAGGGCCAAGCTGTAGGGATATGTACATATAGCTATGTGAGATGAATCTGCGTGTGATAGAACCTTTGCTGGCTTGGGAGGAGATAATCTGATCGATTGGTAGTCACATTTCTCTTAAGACTCCTTGTAACAGAACTAGATCTTCTTATCTCTGCCATGAATTGCATCAGCCTTTTATCCCACAACCTGGATATACATTTATACTCGACCCCAGAAACCTCAATGGCCGTACTACTACAACAACAGCAAATAATACGTCCCCTCCGAGTCACTAACCTGAACGGAACAAATCACTGGCAGCCTGGAGCTTGGTATATACTTCTAGTAACTTGAAATAGATCGCAAACCCACCAATCAAAGACACACCAAATCTAAAAGTAAAAAGCAACCAATCAAACACCCCACGCGGGGCGAACCAAACAGCAGCTCAATTCGATCCGAAAAGTAAAAACCAACCAGAAACCGAAAAACGAACCAATCTCCAACGTCGCATTTCTTATCACCCGCAACTCATACCTAGGTACAATTATCACCATCCCACAAAGCTTACTGCGACGTTCCCATACTCAACCACAACTAAACTACTACTACCACTACTACCTGACACCCTCGAGTCCACCCCACCCACGATAATAATGGACAAATACTCCAAAGCCCTGGAGCTCATCGACGCCGCGCACGCGCAAGACCCCAAAACCATCACCCCTCCCGGCTCCCCCACACCAATCCCCTACGAACTCCACTATGCCAACAAAATGACCAAATACCTTTCCCTCCGCTGCCCCTCTGCGCCCGACACCCTCCGTCTCGCGATTCGCGCCCAGCACCTCAAGCGCTGGGAGGTCCCGCGGTCTTCGTATCCTATGACTAAAATCGGGTACCATTCCTGGCGGAGCGGTCTGCAGAAACGGCAGGCGGAGATCGCGGAGGGGATATGTTTGGAGGCGGGCTATTCGGCGGAGGAGGCTGGGAGGGTGGCAGCGTTGGTGAGGAAGGAGGGGCTGAAGAGTGATTCCGAAACACAGGTGTTGGAAGATGTGGCTTGTTTGGTATTCTTGGATGACCAGTTTGAGGAGTTCAAGCAGGGGTATGAGGAGGAGAAGATATTGGTGATTTTGAGGAAGACGTGGGCTAAGATGTCGGAGGAGGGGCGTAATTTGGCTCTAAAGATTGACATGTCTGAGGAGGCGACGGGGTTGGTTGTCAAGGCTTTGGAGGGCTAAACTAATGCTTTCGCTAGTTATTGTATATAATGCTGTTCAATGAGATATTCAAGTAGAGATATTATATTGTGATGCTAGTTGGATATTAGTCGTCTATTAGAATCGAGTACCATGGCTAATTTTCCCATCCCGAACGCCCGTCGCTGTCTATCATGCACATTAAGTCAAGAAATGCCCGAAATACCTCCAGATTCTACTACTCAAGCACCACCGCCGAACATCCTTAACAGGGCAATCGCAGCTCCCGCCGCGACACCGCCAACAAAACACATCTGCACTCCGCCTTTGATGCCCGCGGCGATGTTCTCTCTCCCCTTCCACCCCCTTACCACACACGTCTTGATATACCCAAAGGCCAACAGCGTAATTGCCATCACCCCAATACTCCAGTAAAGGGCAACAATAACCTGATGGAAGATGAAATACGGTATAAGCGGAATGAATCCACCAACAAAGTAACCCAACGCAAGCGTAACAGCCGAGATCCAAGCCTGGTTACAATCCGGCTCGGACTCCTTGTGATAAAATGTGATGAGGAAATCTAGAAGCCGGTCATGAGAAGCGTGCAGTGAGGTATTGATCTGAGCAATTGCCTCTTCGGGGAGTGCATATGCAGAAAAAATATCGCGGACAATGGATGATGTTTCGGCGGGAGAGGTTTCAATGAGTTCTTTTGTTTCGCGTACTGTTGTCTCGTATGATTCTCTATTTGTCAACTTCTGTTAGTATGTTGTGATCCCATCCTATTTTGCTATACTGCAAGGAAGGACTTACGCTTCGCTCTTCGCGCCGACGTAGCCGCCCAGGCCCATGGATATAGCACCGGCTGCTAGTTCGGCGAGGCCGCCTAGGACGACGACTTTAGTGTTTCCAAAGGCTGAAAGGCCGGCGCTCAGTGCGAAGGGCACGGTGAGCCCATCTGAGAGACCCAAGATGGCGTCCGACACGATTCGCGGGTTGATCCGTGAGCGTGAACTGCTGGTGCTTCCTGATTCGGATGTAGGGGATGAAGGACGGAAGGTGCTATAGGACCGTTGCGATTCGATGTCATCCTGGTCGCTGTGAAGGGTGGAGTCGTCTGGTGCGAGTAAGGGTTTCCCTGAGCTCAAGTCAGCCTTTATTCCCATCCGTACGTGCTTGTAGATGTAGACATACCAAGTTTACCGGCGGAACGTTTATCTTCGCCGGGAAATAATTTTTGTTTCAGAAATAATAGCGCCATGGTGATGTATTGTTGGAGGAAGAGAACACAGAGATTATAACGAAGTGTGAAAACTGTTTTTTCCTATACAGTGTCGATCCGACCCCGACGAAAGAGGAAGGAAGTAAGCAAAATGAAATGCCGGCAGTGACACTGACGTCAGAACGGCAGATAAATGGCCCAATCTAGACTTCCGCCGTGTATAAGCTTCTAATTATCCTGCACACAATGAGTCTTTACGAAGGAGAATGGAATAAATAGCAATGGATAATCGATGAGGGAGATTTTTCTTGAGGTTTAGCTCTTTCTTATTTATAGGAACTCCATCACCTCCAGGTAAAAATCTTACATTCTTCTATTCCAAAACACACGGCCCAGGTCTCCCTGCGGCCCGGCCAATCACATCTCCGTTAATAGTCAGCCCTCGAAGATCCTTTCTCCAATTTAAACTGGACAGTGCGACAGCGATCCAGGTTTGCGAATAGAGTCACGGTGATTGGCGCGATGTCTGAGCTGATTACAATTAGGGAGACTGTGAGTGGTGGATGTTTGGAAGAAGGTTCTCTGGCTGCATCAGACTGGACGAGTACTATGATGTCGGTTTGCCGTCGGACTCGGAATTACTTTTGAATACACCGAATAAAGGGAAATTGAACTTTAGGCAAACTTATATGTACGCCTTTTCATTGGCCTTCCCAGTAGCTGTTGGTTTGCTCGGACTTAACCAAGCTCGGTCACATCGGAGATATGCATAGATATATGAACCAAGATTTGAGGCACTTCGCACCAGCAAACACCGGTAGGCGCAGTTATCTGTCAGCAAATCTCTCATTGGACGCAGCCTTGGCATTCTCGGACATTTGCCCAGTGCTGGGCAGTGGTAGTCAAAGCTTAACCCAGTCGGTCACGTTTCATGAAAGCCCTAAAAGAAAGGGGGTTTGCTTTCTACATATTACGCAAAGTGAGTCACGAATAACACTGCTATCGTTAGAGAATCAAAGATTAAGCCGAACAGGCATAATAATGCATTAGATTATGGCAATAAGTGGGATATATCTATTTTTTCCTTCTTTCGGGTGCGGCCAATGAGAACGGGCAGAGTCGAGAATCTCACAGTGCAATAGCAAGGCCAAGGATACCAGCAGCACCGGCCAAGCCAACTGCAACAGCACCAGTAGGGGCAGCACCAGCCTCCGAAGTAGAAGACTTGGAGTCAGACCCAGAACTACCGGTCGCCTTAGGTCCGCTAGTAGCGGTGGAATCGCCGGTCTTCTGCGCACCAGTGGCCTGCGCGTCGGTTTGGTAGGCAGTCGCGATGAAGGTCTTGACATCGCCGGGGAGGCTCTTGTACCAGTCGGGATAGTGACCGGCACTGATCTCACTAGCAAAGGACGATCGAGAAGCGTCGTTCCCCATATCTTGGAGGAGAGAAGGAGGGACGGCAGTCATGAGCACCGACATGATGGAAGGGGGAGGCGTATTGATGGAGGGCATGTTGGTTGGCATGCCTTCGGGCAATTCGGTCTGGGTAGCACTGTTACGTGTCAGCAGTCATTCTAACTTTCTGGCTGACATCAGTACTCACAGGCTTTCAAGATTGTCGATGTAGGATTGAGCACTGTCCGTGTCCGCTGGCTGGGCTTCAGGGGCAGCCAGGGCTGTAGCAGCCAACATAAGGAAGGGAAGCGCCTTGAACTGCATTGTTATATAATATAAATAACGTTAGGAAACAAAGAGGATATTGTATATGAACTTGTTGCTTCAAGCAAAAAAAAACGTATGTCCAGTTAAATTTAATGAACGAAAGGAATGAATGAGCGCTTGAGGATCCTGTCCTGCATGGTGACACCGATGATTTATATAGCCCCGAGACAAATTGTGGTAGCACACGAATGTACGATCAAACTTCTCAACATCCAGGCGGCTTTCCCAGAGGTGGTATCAATCTCGCGCTATACGTCTCCCGTGGGCAGTGATCAACCCGCTCCAAGAAACTCCTGCTCGTGTTTAAACTCGTGATTGACATCTCTCACACCTATCTGGAGCCGAGCCCTAGAATAGACGTCTTTTCGAGGTCCAGGGACCAACCGTAATCCGCACTGATGATGGCTTTCCGCGGATCAGCGTAGATCCACAGTCAAAAGGGGCTGGTGCAGTGGGATGAGGCTCATCATCTCGTATTGCGGAAATGAAGGATCTTGGGCTCCAACCGACTGTAGTTGTACTAGTCGATGTATAAACTCTCGTCGAACTAGCCTATTAGGACGAGATCGAGTCGGGAAGATCTGCATCAGGAACAGGAATAGCACAGCATGGGTCTTGCGGCGCACATCACCGCAAATATTGAGAACGCGTTAACGGTCAAGCATCTTGCATCTTGGACCCCTTTTCGATATAGGTCTACGGAGTATACCTTCTCTTGTTGAAATTGGGGAGGCAAAGAGAAGGTTGGAATCCCACTCGAGACCCCCTGATCTTGCTACTACTCAGAGTACTCCGTAGGTAGGAGTTGCCCGTAGTCAAGTAAGCCCCGAGCCAATAGTCCCCGCGCATTCAAACGGAAATACGAGGGACCACTCGGACCACACTTTAGATTTGCTGGTTCACTTCTCTTTAGAAATTCAACTGTGGGTTTGCTTTTTTGTTCATTTTCATTCTTTGGTCAAATCCTGGACTTTCTCGAGTCCCAGCTAATTTTTATTGTATTATTTTTTTTCTTTTTTTTCTTTTCTTTTTTCTCTCTTGGAACATGATTAGCAACCACTCTCTTTAGGCGATATATTTTGCTCCCAGAGTACGCAGAACCCGGGCACACCAGCTACTCAAGACGCATACATACCATAAAGTAAGGCCTCGGTGCATTGAATTATTTTCTATCGTATTCTAGACTACTCCAAGGCTCTAAGCATTCAATACACAGAAAAACAATACCAACCTCGTTGCCATCATCAGGGGTTATTCACAGGCGGCAAGCGGGGTTTTCGCATTTGGTGTTCCCACTTATGTAAGCCAGCGCTTCCCGCCTGCTAAACAATCAGCCAATCAGACAGCTCAGATTCAGAAACTGAAGGGTATATAAATCATTGTAAAGATAACCAAGTGCCTTCGGGCATTTGGTCAATTTGAAACGATACAGAGAAGATTAGCATGGCCCCTGCACTAAGGATGACACGCTCAATCAAAGAGAAGCTACCAGTTTTTTTTGAACATTTATCCTCTCGATATAGAGGTAGGAGTGTCTAGAGATCCAAAATGGCATTCTAATAGTGGAGCGGGTTCGAAACGGAGGGCGAGAGACCTTTTTTCTCGAGAAGAATATTTATCACGTGACACATAGTGGTGTTGCGCCGTCCGCTAAACCCGATTAGGCACGCCATGATCCGGTTCTATACTCTACAGTGTTGACAAATGCTCTTTAGTTGGTGAACTGCTACTTCAGGTAGACGCGCCTGCAATAGACAACCCTCAGTAGTGATTCAACACTTGGGCCAATCAGGATAATACAGACGCCAAGACAATCTACGAGACTGCGACTTCTTTTTCGCAGAATCCCCTTGGGAGCTACCCCAAGGAGAATGTGGACTACATGCGAAAGGTCGCGGCTAAATATGGAGCATTTCAGACTCGATTCCCTGGCGGCTTCAAGATATCCAGAGTGGAAGCCTAAACCCGGAGGACTTTTTGTTCTTCGTGATGCTTTGATTGTTTTGATAAGAGCCTTGAAACGACCGAGTCACCTGCTCCTTCATTGTATGTACCAAACGAAACTGGTTTCGCCAAGTCTTATCATTGTTACTATTTTGATGTTATTGATGATGTTGTTGTTCTTATGGCTCTTATGAGAGGGAGGGATCATCAAGAACAATCTTTGATTCTTGACTTTGCCACTGGGCCCCTAGCCTACACTTACTCATTCCTGAGTACTTCTCGGGTACTATTGATATAATGCTACAGATCCGATAAGCGATACAAGATAAATATAAACGAGAGCCCCATTAATAAGTCGAGCTTTCACATACTTTAAAAAGTATTTTTTTTTATCAACATGGATTCAATCTTTGCGAAGCCTAAAACTGGTCACAATACGAAGCGGCCTGTACAATTATCAATGATTATTGGAAGAATACAATAAGTGATGACAGCCGCCTACGTCGACACGTCAGGCCATTTCGTTGCCCCTCTTTTTTGCTTTTCCAGAAGGTAGTGGACAGACTAACTTTAAGCCTTCGCATTCAATAACAGGGCACTATATGCTAAGGGTACTCTACTTCGTAACACGAACGGTCGAGTTGGTGACAGACCGGCGGTTCCTCCACCCCTGAGGGATAACATGGCTGGGCAAGTACGAGGATTCGCAGGTTTAGTGTCAGATTTGATGGAAACGAAAGTTTACTAGAAATGATAGAACTACCTGGTCTATAGTATCTCATCTGCTGAAATTGGTCATGACTTTTCATCGCCACCACATCACCTTTGACCTCTAAGAGAAATAAGCTCTAGCGTACTGAGGAACTATTTCTGGTGATTGAGTATGCCTAGGTATATAGACATTTGTAAAGTCCCTATATCAACTATGTTTTCCAGCATCCTTGCCCAAAACCCCGATTTTAGACTACGCACGATTACAAGAAAAGCGCACTGTGGGTACCATGGACGATTCTGCTAGGCCTTTGAGAATACTCTCACTTGGTACACATGTCAAAGCCATACGTTACTAACCAATTACTAACAGTATTAATAGATGGAGGAGGCATACGCGGTCTTTCAAGTCTTTACATACTCCAAAATCTGATGGATAAAATCAGTCGTCTCGAGGGAAGAGATGGTATTAAACCTTACGAATACTTCGACCTGATAGTTGGCACATCAACAGGAGGGTGGGTTTATACTACCCTTGCCCAGTTTACATGCTAATGGTTGCAGGCTGATTGCTGTTATGCTGGGCATGCTTCACATGGATATCCCTGCGTGTATAAGCCAGTATACAGAAATGGCTCTAAAGATCTTTCCACGAGACAAGTTCGCTTCAGGTCTCCGTTTCACAAGAGAACGCCACATGTTTGACCCAGAGCCATTTGCCAAAGTCGTCAAACAACTGGTTAGGTTGTATCTAAACAAAGGGAGCGGCGTTATAATTAAATATGACAAAGAACATGTGTCTAAAGTGTAAGAAAAGTCCTTGTCTCATCTTCGCACCAGTCTCAAAAAACCGTCGATAGGGCTTTATGCGTCAACCGCCAAGACCCAAAAAAAAACTCCAACACTGTCGTCTAAGGAGCTACTCTGGGGATGATGACAGCATTAACTGTCAAATTTGGGAAGCCTGCCTCGCTACAAGTGCCGCTCCTTTTATTTTCCCACCAGTTAAGCTGGGTGTTCCACCCAGGTGCTAGATCGACGGTGGACTGGGATACAATAATCCTATCATTGCCACCTATAACGAGGCGTCTATAATGGGTAAAAACATAGGCTACTTAGTGAGTATCGGGACCGGTGCAGGGTTCCCGACTTGGGGAAATAAGATGGTAGACTTTGTGAGGTGGCTCTTGAATGTAGCAACGTCCGCTGAGATGATAGCTGAGACGTTCCAGACCCTGAAGGGAAAAGACCTTGAAGGAAGGTACTTCAGATTTAATGCCTCAGGAATAGAAAACATCAGCCTACAAGAGTGGGCAAAGGCAGAGGAAATTGCTATTGCGACACACGATTACCTTGAAGGCGAAAAGAAGAAGGAAAAGCTCGAGGCTTGCGCTAAACTGCTTCATCGACTCAAAGGCAAGTGCCAATGACCAGAATCAGAATGCTTCCTGTTATCTCGAGCTCTCTCACGCACTTATGCCATTTCCAAGACCGATATTGTGCTAACCTAAATGCACGCACAGCGCCTGAACATCTTAGTAGTGACGATTCAAGAGGGGTACCTCCTATCGTTTCCGACGGAGAAAACGTCGCCATGGATAAGGCTGCGAATGTGCTACAGGATATGGAGCTAGCCGGGGAAGTAATTGCAGCTAGAACAGTTCAAGAGCTAGGGTATCTCGACTCCTTGGGCACGAGTGAGGAAGTAACAGCGGTCGAAAAGTATAGAAACTTCGAGTCTAAGGTATACATCCCGGCACTCAAGTTGCAGCAGGGAGTTGCCACGTTCTTTAAGGATAAACTAGGGCCCACCAACCCCTATACAGTTTCTGCACTTGATGATGAAGCAAAGTTTTTACGGTTAAGCGGCCAGTATGATGACGCTGTGTTGTCGCATGAAGAGGTCCGTCGGATTGTAGACCAGAGTCCGCTCTTCGCAAATTTTCAGAGTGATGTCGCCCACGAGTTGAGTTATATGCAGAAGGAAACATCTGCAATGAATGAGTTTAAAGTACAAAGTTACAAAACGGTCAAATCCAACCTATTCCACGACAAAACCTGCCGCTCTCCACTTGAAGATACCAAACATCTAGCAAAGGATGGAGCTCTCAAGTTTTGGAGCGCTCAAATTCTGCCTGTTGAGCATATCTATGGAGAGACAGATCCTACAACCATTTCGCAAAAACAAAAACTCGTCTCGTTGAGCCAACATTTTAAGAATAATCCGTTTGAGAATCTCCTCGGCATTGGTGATGCCTAAGAGGAATACCATGTTGCAACTACACGACTTGAAGAGCTAGCAAGCCATCCACTATTGGAGAAGCTGAGAGCAGATTTAACCAATGTGTCCAAGTGAAGTGTTTCATGATCATGTCTCTATCTGTTTTTGGTCAGCTTAACGTTTTGAAGGGATGGAACTACTGATTGAACCTCGGCGGTGAGATAATTTTCAGTGTTGATTCATGATATCAAAGGGGAAAATTTATCGAGCAAAACGTTATGAGATATGCTGTCTTCTCACCAGTACAATTTTGCAGTTCAACCTTGCAAATGGTTTCCGTTCATGTATGGTACCAGAATGTCAGTTACTGCAGTACGCACACGCGAGTCTGCATTTTGCTCTTTTGTCCATTTTAATTTGAGACTGCAATTAATGCCGCGATGCTACTGCACAAGAAACTTTCCACTAACATCCTCAGCTCTGCTTCACTCATCTCCTTCGCATCTAGCAACGCATTATCCAAGTGGATAAAAAAATTGCAACCGTAGTCAGAATCCCAGAATCCAGCTACTAGCATTGCTGCATCTACGTCTGCCCAGGGACCTTTGGTTAGCTCTGCCAAACTCTCCTTCCTAACTTCTTCGCATATTCTTCAAAACGGTTTCCCATGCCTTCCCATCTTTGTCCTTAGTATACTGGATCAGTCTGTTCGGATTAGGTTTTTAAGCTCTCTTTAATCGTTCATCTATGTTGGTTGATTCAGGCCAATCATCGAAGTTTCTCTTACGCTACCAGAGGATCGGTGAGATAAAACTTGCTCTATGAAGCAACTGAGAAAGGTGTTTAAAACATAAAGTTGATCCGTACATCCATATAAACCGGGCTCCACGAACTTATAAGTTTTGCAAGATACCTTCCGCATAAATTTTGCTTACTTCCAGGTGTAAACTTAGTTCAAAGATGATCTAAGACTTTTGAACTTTTGATACATGACATTGAATCGACAATGAAGTTCTGTAGATCATTCTAGTTGTGTTCCTATGAGTTAAAAGAGGACCTCAGGTGGTTTTAAAACAAGTTTTTGATTATTTATCTGCTTGATATACAGGTAGGCGTGCAAAAACATAGCGGCACTAGTTTCCTTATTTATGACGTCATTCGCTATTGCCACACTTCACGCGAAACCCCCACATAAACATTCAAGAACTAGAATATCTTCACTCCGTACTATTCTCATCAAACCATCTACTATCTAACATCTCTATCTCTCCATCAAAATATCTCCAAAAATGCTATCCCCACGTACAGCGACCAAGATACTTCGAACGCCCCCGTCACTGGTACCGCTGGCCAGGCGTCGCTTGAAACCATTTCGTCCACAAACAGCGGCGCCGGTCGTGTCCTCGGGACTGGGTCTGGTGGTACGGTCACGGCCCCTGGACACTCCTCTGCATCGGAGGAGATACCATTAAGCAAAGAGGAGGCGGACCGTCTATACGAAGAAAGGATGGAAGAGGAATATGCGAAGAGAGAGGGGGGTGCATGATCGAAATCTGGCTGCAGTGATATTATTTATCGGGGTTTAGTTGGACATGTTGCAGGACTACGATGCTATGATGCTATGATGCTATGATGGCTATAAATGCGGAATAATATGGATACATGGATATTCGCGCAGCGCAGTAGTATCTCTGGTTGATTACTTGCCCTGGACCTATTCTCAGCAACTTGTAATAGACATAGCAATGAATTCACCTATCTCTAGTTCTTTTTGATGGGAATCCACGAGCAAGCCTAGCAAAGTGTGCAATGACGTTGACCCCTCCTTCGTAACAGGAAGATCCATCAGAAGCAAAAAGCACCACTGGGAATCTCGACAATTGGTCGGTGCCGCAAAAAAGGTAAAGGTCGCGCCCGGGTTCGAACCGGGGTTATCAGAATATGATGATGGGATCAACTGGAATTTTAATTAGTCAACTGCTGGTGAGTTCCAATGGTAAGGTAAACATACAATCTGAAGTGATAACCACTACACTACGCAACCTGTCATGGTTGTTATTCGTTGAAGACTAGAACTTATAAGCTTGTTGAATTATCATATTGGCTACAATTCCGAGTTCTTCCTGGCTTCAGGACCGCAATTGAACCGGGTAAAAGAAAAAGAACAAACACAAAGACGACTAAATATATAGCTTTGGATGTTGGGTGCTACAATGTACAATACTGATACTGGATAGGATAGGCGATTAATACCGGATATATATATATATATATTTGCGGATTTATGACTATGTGATGGGTTGTGTGGCTCTTGTGAATAAGTAGTACACCAGTGATATCGAGTATCAAATCATACTACTAGATGATGCCTGAGCTAGCAGATAACAGCTCAGCTGACTTAACAACACACTGTCCCATAATCTCATTCTTGTTTATTATTGAAGGAAAGCAGGGTCTTCTCTTTTGATTAAGTAACAAATCGAAATACTAATTCGGCAACGCATGCTAGGCCCTATAGTGTAGTGGTTATCACTTCAGATTGTAGGTCTACCTTATTTATTATCCTACTCTTCCAGTACTTGGTACTAATTATCTTCCAGTTGATCTCAGTATTGATATTCTGATAACCCCGGTTCGAACCCGGGTAGGACCTTTTTTTGCTCTCTTTCTTTCTTTGCACATCGTGTTCTCTCTTCCTCTACCTACTCTGGCTATGGTGGTCTAAACATAGAGTAGGGGTTCGTTAGCCCATCAACTTGGATACCTACTGGATTACACCCGTGAAAGCACAGTGGGGCAACTTTAACACTCATCTAATTGGCTCCCTATAGCGGACTAATATTCTACATTGTCCGGAACCTCGACCTAGCGTACTCTTCCAGAGCCAATGATATTCCTCCGCGAACCCTAACTTGGTCAAGGGTTGGGGTATTGGAAAAGTAGAAGAGAGGCCATCCAACTCGACTCAAACGACCTATTATCTATCTTGACATTATGCCAAAAAAAATTGAACCATAAGAAGATAAGGCAGAAACATACAGCACAACTAACGTAGTATCAAATCCACTCTTGTGATTCCCACGAGAGAGACACTAGTCGGCTTTGCCCTGAATAGTCATTGCAAGTAAATTGCTTGGTGTTGAAATAGGCATTTCAGGGAACCAGTTCAACTGCCTGTCAGCGTTGTTGTCCTGAAGGCGATCACAAAACATCACACCAATAATAGTTCAGCAAATCGACTCGGACCCAGAACGTTCAAAATACTTAGACGTAGTGATAACAGTTATATGTTTATCTAACTATATAAACATGTTAGATTAGTTCAAATAATATGTTTTTTCATGAAGTCCTACCTGTCCTCTGCGATAGCTTGCCATCGCTAAGGTCTGAGCTCCCTTGAGTTGCTAGTCATTCTGCGGACCATACTGATGATAATCGACCTCTATAACATCTTTCACCTCAATAACACGATTAAAACCTGCAGCTGGAACTGTGGCTTCAGATAATCTAGAGGTGTTCAGAAGAAAGGCAAACATCCACTTGAAAGTGTGTAAATTCTCAAGGCAATTTGGAGCATCCCAGATGGTCTCAGGAGACTGAAGGATTTAAAGCTTCTCGGGCTTGAGACCATGGGGAGGCATTTCAGGTATGCATATGTGGGTTTAGGTATGAACCACCCTATATATATCACCTAACTGATTGAATGTTCGTTCATCATTCAATTGTAACATTTTTTGCCTGAGTGAATTAGGTGACTCGATTAAAGAGAATTACACATATTCTGTTGCATAAATAGCCTCATAATAGGCAGACTAGATACGAGGGCTTCGTCGTAATGGCACTAGGTGGAGAAGGGGAATTCTTGAAAGTACAGGAGACAGGAAGTGGCAAGGCAAAGGTAGGTTTCGAGAGCTAAGGGAGATCATCAAGTGCCTATACTATATAGATTGATGACAAGAAGTGTGGGGACAATAGAATTAAACTTCAACCAGAAAGTGAGTGGTTGTTGTACCTGGTTTGTGTCAGGCGGGCCAAACCCGCCTGTCAGCAGTAGGCTTTATCTCCGCCTGAGGCCAATGTTACTGGCGCAGTTCGATTACTTTTGCAACACCTCCGTAGTTCGGGCTTTTTTCAAAGACAACAACAAAAGGTGCCCTACATTTCGGGTGTTCGCACAGAGTAGATAGAGTACTAATACCATGTCGTGATTGGTGACAAAGATTCGACACTAAGGAAAATAGCTAATAAAGTACGCGGCTACTTACAGGAAAACTAGATGAGCCTCTTCTCCAACCTCGAGCATATAGCTCAAGAACTGATGAAAAGGGTATCTCTCTATGAGATAAGAGTGCCAAAGAATACGCCTGTCAATGACCCGAAGGCCGTTGAACGGATTGTTCCGCCGCGCTGTGCAATGCAGGGACCAATCGTGGTGGACCGCCTTCTTGATCGCAGCCACCCAAACAAGGTAAGTATGAAGAAAAGAAAGAAGAAAAAGTTCAAAATATGGTCGGGGGAGAGAGGCTTTTATGTGATGAGTGGGGTCACTGGAAAGTGCGCTAGTGTAAGCGAGATAGCTGTTATATGATGTGATTGGCTATAGACGCAAGGGGTTGTTACCCGTTTCGCTGCTAACTTCAGCGGTCGGCTACAGCTCAACGTCTCAACGCCACTTTCAATACTATCAGGCCATAAAACAGTCATTTCTGTATAGATAATGATATATATACAAGGATCCCTACATATTCATATTATATAGCTTTACAGATATCGTGTTTAACAATGCGGCATCTTTCATTTATTGTGGTCCGCGGAGCGCGAAGCGCGAAGCAATTAAACTGTTTTTCTACGCAACGTTTGAAAAAGGGACGTTGAGCCGTGACTGACGTTGCCGACCCCTGCTGAAAATGCGGCAGTGAAACGAATTTGTGGCTGTCTAAATACTAATCGAGATAGGGATATTTGTTCCTGGTATGGCCTTTTTGTATGCAGGGATACTACAGATGAATTCATTGATTACGATAAAAATCTCCACGATAGGTATATCGAAGCACCGCTTTCTATGGCAGTTGTAATCATCAGTTAATACAAGTAGGTGCCATATTCAAGGCACGCAATAAGTACATGAATTGCTACTACCACATAGGCATCATAGACGGAAAGCGCAAAGTCCATACGATGGACCGGTCTAGTAATTATGCTACTACCGAACAGCCCCGCAGAGTTTACTCTGCACTAAGAGCAAGACATGCATCTACTGCTAGGCCAACCCTGTTGAAAAACGTAAGCCAATTTCTTTTGGTCTCGGATCTGAGCAATGGGGGTGAAACACTTACCTGCCCTCCTTCATCTTGACAACATCATCAATGACGTCGCGGTCTAGATTTGGGAACATGTTTGATAACGTCTCCACCATATTGTTGTGCTCAACACGTTGTATCCTCCGTGCTTCGGCGTCCTCAGCACTAGCCTGTCGAACAGCAGCATCCTGTGCATCATGAGTCCTAGCCCGCCGTGGCTGTGATACATTGCGTGATCTTTCGCCTGATCGTCGCTCCTCACCGCTGTTACGAGGTGGCTGGTATACATTTGGATTGAGCCGTGGTGAAGGGCTAACTGGTGAGCTCGTCGCTGGCGGTGTGCGTCGTTCCTCTTGCGAATCGGGCTCGTCAGAGAAAATTCTTCCGATGGTAGACAGCGGCTTCTGGATAGTACGCAGGAGTCCAGCTACTGGAGCGTTGTCTTCATCGTTGGATTGTGTCGCCTCTCTGCGGCCCCGTGGAACATCCACCGAAGACCTTGGTGTAGATTGTGACCGCTGGGTCGACTTCGGCTCTAGCGACTCCGACTCACGATTTTGTTGGGCGATGGCCGAGACGGCGGCTTCAACATTTCGCTCGAAGTCTTCGTCACTCACTGTTAAGCTCGTTCTGTCCAGGGTCTCAATGAACTGGATGGCGCCGGACTATATCTCAGTCAGTTACTCGCTCAATCTGCCGAGCTTTGCATTATATAGTTTACCAGTGAGGACAAGTAGTAACCGGCCTCTCCTCCGAGTTTGTCTTGATTGCGGAATCGAAGGATATATTGAATGTTAGAGACCAAATGCTCCGGATTGGCATGCAGCACCACATAAATCAGAAGGGGTACGAATGAGTCGGCTGAAGTATCGGATGATTTCGAATTCTTCAGTAGACCTTGCACATCCTTGTGAGTTGACGTCCACACATATCATTCCTTAGATAGTCACTCACCGAAGATGACTTTGCAGCAGTTCAAGATACAGATAACTTTATCACGGGGTGCCCGGTAGCTGTTAATCTTCGAAAGTTCTATAATTGACGTCAGTAATATATCTGTGACCAGAACGAAAATTTGCTTACCTTGTTGGGCGAGAGTTAAAAAGCGACGGCCATGGGAGCCCACTGGTGGTATATCAAGATGCGCCTCTCTTACCCAACTATAGATACGGATCTTCTGGGCTAGCACCTCATCCCGCTCAATATCTTCCTGGTGTTGGCCGCGCCTCCAAGGACCATGGAGTCTCTCCATTTCTCTTCGTTTGCTCCGGCTTGTACTTCTTGGAATGGTTGGCGGGGAAGGAATAGCCGGGGAAAATGTTTGTGAATACAATCTATTCATGACGAGCTTTTCCATCCCTTCTTTAGCATTATCGAACTCGCCGTCCGAGACGTCACGCCAAACTTCACATATCGCCATCTTATTAGTGATGAAAGCCAAGAAATCGCTGATGATCTTAACTTGCTCATGAACCATCCACTGTCGTTTCCCAAACTCATGGAGGAACGAGCGTAGGAACTTCGCCACCGGGTCAGCAGTACGATGTCGCAGTTGTTCTAGGAACCGATGAAAATCGAAAGGTTGGTCAGGTTCTGGTTCTGGTGGGGGAGGTAAAGTCGATGTGGACGAGCGCCGAGTCAGTGCTGGCTCTTCTACAAGTGATCGCCTGTGCATGCTTGTAGAGCTCGAGGCATGTTGTTTCTCGGGAGAAGCGGATGGCGCTCCCACCTTGACGTCTGAAGCCTGAGCGCCCTCGCCTACTGCCTTTCTTTGATCAAGCTGGACTGCCGAGGAGGAAAGTGGCCTTGTCCACCAAAGAATTGCTCAGCTAACTCCAGTCGAGGTGACATTATCAGCTCTTCACTATCGCCATGCGTAGGATCCTGGAATTGTTCCATGATGCTTTGAATCTCCGGTTGGGAGACATCATCTCGGCCAGCCCCGTCATTATCGGCCTTCTTCCCCCGCTCAGGCACTTCCGGTAGTTCCTTTTCAGTCCATTCGGAGGATGTCTTTGTTGACGAATGGGAAGTGGGCGCAGGTTGAGGTTTCTGGTTAAGGTATGCGTCGTCTTTCTCCGGTGGGGGAGGGGGTTGATCGGTGTTCGGCGACGGTGAACGATCCAGTGTGTTTGTAGATATTGTTAAACCCTTCATCCGGCCTGGAAGCGACTCTTGTTCGGTAGGTATTGCACTTGGCGGGTCGACAACAGGTATAGTTACTGAATGGAGAGACTCTGTAACTGCACCTTGCGGGGTATTCTGCATATCTGCTTCCATATCGCCTTGATTCAACTCATTGGTATCCTTCGGATCGGCGAGTGCATCATTCTGTGACTCTCGAGCCGGCTCGGAATTCGTTGATGTCACCTGTTGCTCTAGTCGGTGCCCCTCATCGTGAAAATTTGAGGAGATCTCCCTTGTCCACTAGGAGCCGGGGAATCCGAGGGTTCTGTGGCAGACATAAGCCAGCCGCATACACGCTAATAACTTAATAGATCAGGTCGCTGAAGTGAACGTTCTTTAGAAGAAGACACAGAGCATTATGATATAAACATCCAGGTCGAAGCTGTCAAGGATCACAGCAATAAGTGCCGAGACAGCGGATGTAACGGAATCGGCGGGAAAAGTATTACGGCAGCTAGTATTGTTAATAAGCCGCCCCAGTAGTTAGTTAAAGGAGGGTTTAACAGAAAGCACTTGTTGTTATCTCTAGTACGTAGCTGTCAGAATATCATCCTAAGTGTTGAGAGTATAACGGACTGCACGTCACCGCCGGGGTCACGGTTCCCCCGAGGTCCGGCGCGAGTCATTCATTTCTCTGTTACTACAGTTGAAAGAAACACCACCCCTCGTTCGCGGCCGGAATGTTACAATGTGTGGAATATTCTTTTCCCTAAGCGCCTCGGGGCCTGTACTTCCTAATGAGGAGACATGCTGTTTATTGCGCAAACGAGGGCCCGATAGCTTCCAAATTCAACAAGTTCAACGAGATGTCAACACAGATCAGACAAGATCTGTACCGATTTTCCTTACCTTTGTCTCGACCGTCCTTTCGATGAGAGGCGACCAAATTGTCACCCAGCCTCTTGTGGACTCCATTACTGAATCCGTACTTTGCTGGAATGGTGACGCCTGGAAAGTAGCAGGTGAACCTATTCGAGGTAATGATACCCAACTGATATTTAATCTACTACTACAAGCTGCGAAGCCGTCTTACAATTCAGGATCATCCACTGCCCTTGATGGTGGAAATGCTGTTCAGAGAGTTGTGGATGTTCTCAGTAGCATTTCCGGGCCTTTTTCTTTTATATTCTATGATGCTATCAATGCAAAACTATACTTCAGCAGGGATTGTCTTGGAAGGCGGTCCCTACTTCAAGGCCTTGATGAAACCGGGGCTTTCAAGATCTGCAGCCTCTGCGATGGGACGTCATCCACCCACTTTGATGAAGTTGGCACAACTGGTGTGCATATGATTGATTTCACACACAGTGTCATGCAGGATTTGTCTACACCCGAAACCGGTGCTACTCATTTCAACCCTGACAGCATGCAAACACTACCATGGGAGAACATAGATTCTCCTGGCCATCTGGTACGTATACCCTTCTGATCGCTATGCTTGGAACTCATACTCATGGTCATGCAGAGAAACCCCATTCCTCCCATGAACAGGTCTGTTCCGCAGGACGTCCCTCCTCAGCTGACCGTTGAGTCGCCTTGCGTGAACGAGCTTGAGCAAAGACTTCGTACATCTCTTGCACTCAGAATCCAGAATGTACGTGATCCCCCGGGTTTCACCACAGAGAGCAACGCAAAGGTGGCTGTGCTGTTCTCCGGGGGACTCGACTGTACCATACTCGCTCGACTGTCGCATGAGCTTCTACCGGCCAACGAGTCAATTGATTTGCTCAATGTCGCCTTCGAAAATCCGCGTGTAGCAGCAGCAGCGAGCAAAGAAGCGAAACTAGGCTCGGTGTATGAGAACTGCCCCGACCGCATTACTGGCCGCGCAGCCTTCGCAGAGCTTCAAGCCACTTGCCCCAACCGTAACTGGCGCTTTGTCGCAATTGACATCCCTTACGTGGAGACGGTTGCACATCGTGACACAGTGAAACGTCTGATGAGGCCGCACAATACAGAAATGGATCTGTCCATCGCATGTGCACTCTACTTCGCCTCGCGTGGAAAAGGATCTGCACTCGACAGCCACGAAGGTAACGCTGAACCGCAACCATACACAACCCCTGCTAGAGTACTCTTATCAGGTCTGGGAGCCGATGAGCTGTTCGCAGGATATGCGCGGCATGGAATAGCATACTCACGCAACGGGTTCGAGGGGCTCATTGACGAAATCAACCTGGATGTCAGTCGTCTTGGGAAGCGCAACCTAGGTCGCGACAACCGAGTGATAGCACACTGGGGCCGTGAAGCACGATTCCCATACCTCGATGAAGGCTTCGTCTCGTGGGTCGTACAAGCTCCTGTCTGGGAAAAGTGCGGCTTTGGCCTCCCAGAGCCAGAAGGCAATGATCATACAGAGTCCATGGCCGGCATCGACCCAGAGAAGCGCGCCCTTCGCCTAGTAGCCTTCAAACTAGGGATGTCAAATGTGGCGCGAGAAAAGAAACGAGCCATCCAATTCGGCTCGCGGACAGCAAAGATGGAAAAAGGTAGAGTAAAAGGCACCGACGCCCTCAGCTAAATAAAACTTTCCAACTTACAACACATCACTCTCTTCCTCTCCCCATAAACAACAATCTTCTTCCCTCCCACACTCCCCAAACCAATCCACCCGAAAACGCCAACACAGCAGTGATGATAAAACCAAGGAATCAGATACTTCTGAGCCCACACCTCATCTAGCCTCAAACCCCCATTTCTATCATCCACCCAGCATCAAGTGGCGTGCAATTTCCCTCGATCTCTAGACTATGCACATCCAGCACTCCCCTGTTTGCAGACTCACTCAGGCCAAAGCGTGTAGTATTTGTTCTAGTCAGCGGCAAAGAGACCGCCTGCTCATTATTGTTCCGCCTTCTGCACTGGCTATCAGAGCGAGGGTACAGGGCATTAATGGGTTCGGATGGTTCTAACCCGCGTATATGGCTTTGAGGTCGAGCTCTTGGAGGCAGGTGTGTGTGCTGGTGGGCTGGGTTTTGTTGATTGGGGGTTGTGTGTCGGTTTTGCTTGTTGTATGGCTCTAGATGATATTGATGGATCTGTTTGAGAGAGGTTTGGACGGTGAAGTTTATAAAGGCAAGTCTGAGCTGTGTTTTATGGTGGTTTTTGTCTGTGTTCCTTGTGGAGCATAGCTATGATGCCATGATTGTTCCATGTAGATGGTACTCTATCCTTTCACATAACCTACATTACGCATATCGATCATCTAAGCTAGAGTAGGTATTGGGTTCCGAGTACTTGCAGACCGTTGCATACATACTCAAACGAATGGTCTACTTCGGGGAAAACTCGATAGTATAGTGAGGCTTAATAAATAGATTAAATTGGCTAATATATAGTATGTTAGTATTGGTAAATTGAGCAATTTGTTACACTAATGGATTCATGATCTGGAACCTAGATCTAGTCTAGGTAACCGGTACACGATAGGACCAATTATATGCTTGATGTCTTGGTACTTAGTATATGGACGTTGTGCTGTGTGGCTTCCATGTCTTAACGTGGCGGAGAAGGAAACCATGTATCTTCGGTGCCGCCTTGTGGGATTGTTGATTGTTTGAAAAAGACTTCGCTTTCCTTGAATAGTGAACAAGAAATGACAATTTGTTGTTAAGCCCCTGTGTTGAACCATCTTCTGCTAGCTTACAGATAATATAAAATTATCTGATAGTGTAGTTTAATACTCAATATCACTGCTGTATTGTTTGCTACAGCTAGATGATCAGTTATATAGTTATAAATAAATTATATATCCAGTATTGAGCTATTTTTATGAGTATGATATATATACTTTAGCGCTCTACAGAGTATATCCAGAGCTATGCATTTAGTATTTCTTTTATTTATTTATTTTTTCTTCGAACCAGTTCAATTATATTTCGTAAGCTAAACGGAACTCAGTTTAGTAGCTAATATCCTGATTAAATATGCTTACAAGTTGTCTATAGTTTTTAAATAATAAAGACTATAACGGGTTGTGTAGTGTAGTGGTTATTACTTCAGATTATATATTTATCTTACTATTATCTATTCCAGCAATTGATACTAATTCTCTTCCAGTTAATCTTAATATTGAGCCCAGTTTCTCCCGCCGTCTCTTCCGGTCAAATAAGATCGTTCCATCCCGCTATTACTCGAACTGATCCAATTCTTTCCTGTGCTTCATCTTGCGGCGACCTCCATCTTCATTGCGCCGATTCGCGAGTGTGAGGTTGTGCAAGGCCAAAGGCCGGATGTGGGTAATTCGGGACGGGTTTGGACTTTTGGGTACAGAAAGCCTCGACCATGTAGCCAAGAGACTTGCTATCAGCGCCAGATGTGAAGATGTATGGAAATGTATGAGCCATACTCGTAGTCATTCAGTTGTTAGAAACTTGCAGAATTCCCAAACCTGATGGGAATCCTGGAAGGTCCCAATAGGACTAGTTAGTAGGATAAGTAGAGGACATGCCCCTACCGCCATTAGCTAGTTGAATTTACGCAAGCTGATCTTGCTTACCTTTTTTTTTTTCAAGATTCACATTCTCATTACATGGTGAATATGTGAATATCACCTCCTCTCCATCACCATCTGGGAACCACTAGCGACGTGAATGCTTCTCTCTTGACATCCCCACCCAGAATCCTGCCACGACGAGTCTTCCAAGTTTAATGCATTTCCCATGTGATCCATCTTACTTTCTCTTTCCTCGCCGAGATACTTCCCCTGGAATAACCACCAACTGTTTTCGATGAAAGTCTGCGAAAACTGCCAGGCCGTGGGCCATATGTCCAGGAGCTGCCCTGTTCCACGCTGTCACAGCTGTTGGGAGCTGGGACATGTGTTGCGAAGATGCCCATATAATACCTGCGACCATTGCAACGGAAAAGGCCATCTGGTCCGGGATTGTCCGCAGAGGATGAAATGTTTTGGTTGTGAGGAGTTTGGCCACGTGAAGAAAGACTGTCCCCGGAAGCACTGCCAGAGAAAACCGACAGTAATGTTTATCCTTAAAAAGCCTATTATTGTCGTTATTTGGCTAATTGTGGTCTCTACCAGGACCAACCAGAGGTATTTATTTTCCCCAGTGTAAAGAATATAGCACACCAAGTCGTGAAGGCGATTTACGATTCCCACGATGATGAGATAAAGCATATTCCGTATCGAACTGTTATCGATGCCTGTGGGGGAGTTGAGATTGTTGTTGAAGCAATACTTTCATCTATAGACCCTGACATTCGGGCGCTTGAGGGACACACAGTGACAGTGGAAACGTACAAACTTTTCTTGCTTCTCATCTCTAATCATGGAATTGCTAACCAAGCAAAGGCTGAACTCAATTCAACAGAAGCAATTTTATACACCAGATCCTTGGCCCGTCAACAGTGGGTACTTGGACTTTGTGAGCGATACCACAGACACTGCCTATCTGCGATTCTATGTTGGTCAGGCCGAGAAGACCGTCTTTCGCATCAAGATGCACATCCGCAATATCCTACTTGGCGCGCATAATACTTTGCACTACTACGTTATTTGGAAAGGCAAAGGACACCGCGTTGCCAATTTTTTGAGACTGTGGGTCTTGAATCTCCCCGAAGGTGTTGACAACGCTATCAAGCTTGTTCTCAATAACATACTGGAAATGACTATGTGCTGCTGTTTCCAGTCGTTGCCAACAAACCTTCTTGAGAGATGGCTTGAAAACCCTGTGAAATCACCGTATTGGGGAAAGGGCTTAAATGTCATAACCCCACTAGTTCAAGGTCTCTCCATGAGTCTGCGTTGCGTGTAGCGCAACGGCTGAAGCTCAAAGATTCCCCAGACCCGGATATCCGGGCTTGGCCTGAGGTTCGGCACAAGCAAATCCAAGAGGAACGATCGCAATCAAAATCTCAAAATCGCCGTGTACCACCCCTACCAGGTGTGAGTGAATACTTTAGGGCTTTGGAAGAGGCAGTACAGAGCTCCGTAGGGCCCCATTCTATGTTTAACGTTGAGTCCGCATGCAGCGAGAAGGAATACTCTCTTCCGGATTTTGAGCAATATGCAGAGCAACTGACGAAAATCACGGGCACATGCCCCAATTTGCTGCCTCCATTTGGTGACCTCACCGCACGTATAGGTATCATCTTGGAACATGGATATTTCACAACTACAGAAGACACTCCTTCAGTGAAAAGCAAACTAGACCTTCCCTGGGGACTAAGTCATACTGGCTTCGACGAGAAAAACTGCCTGATATGGCCATTCAGGTTCCAGGATAACCAAGAGGTTGCAAATCTGAATAATGTCAAATCTCTCACTACTGAAGAGGCCAATGTTCTCGGTCAGCTCAACCACCAGTTGATCATCAACAGCGATCTCAAAGTCATCATTATGTCTGGCGAAAGTATCCACGACCTTATCTTGACAAGTCACCGTGCCGACTCGAAGTTGGTTCCTACTAGCCTTCATCTCCGTGGATATAGCATCCAAGCATACATTGAGGCAACTGGCTCAAACGTGGAGAGGCTCTATATCAAGTCTCCCGGGCTTATTGGATCATTTTGGGCTGATAAATGGTCTGCTTCTATCCAAATAGGTGAGATATTTCGTTTCGCTTCGACAATTACCAGGACACCCAACATAACAGGTTATTTTTTCAACTCCGTTGTCATCCATGTAGCAATTTGTCGTCAATATCGGGCAGAAAGAGACAAAACATGTTCGCCGATGACGTTAGCTACTATTGACCCTGATATTAGAGCCTGGCTGTATACCAAAGGTTTTCAGAGGGATGATGACGTTATCGCTCTAGAACAACTCGGTGGTACTCTGACCAATGGGCTTTCCATGCTCTTGCATGCACTACCGCATTGCCCAAAAGAGCATAGAGGATACACTTATCCTAAGCGATCATATAAGTAAAAAGGGGAAAGAGAGTCCTTGGACAAGAACAAGATATCTCAAATCAAGGCTTTTTATGAGTCTTTGGTTTCTCCGACTTTGTCACACCCAGAAGTTTTGAAAAGTCCGGCAAGCTCCCCGGCAGTCATCGCTTCAGAATTCAAACCTCAGGATTCTTCGAATGCCCTTGACGAGGAACATCAGTTGGAGGCATCTATTACCGATCAGCACATCGAGGAATGCATGGAACAAGAAGAGGACATCGAGCCTGAGACTCTCACACAAGTGGCACTTGATAATGAAGGGGCCTACCAAGTTACTCTTCATCCTGGTGACCGAGGGAACCCACGAAAACTAGGTACCAGAGCCCTAGATGAGTCGCTCAAGCGAATATCTCGAACGTCAATGGGGACACAGATAAGTCTTCTTGCGGGTCGAACTTATGCAGGAAGCCGCCGTCAAACACAATCAGTTGATGAATATACGATATATGTCCATCATCTGACATTACGCATACAAACACCACTTTTGGACCAGATTGACACAGCGGCAGGCTTTACTGTTCATGTGGAAATTAAGCCGAGTGGAGCATCACATCCAAACCGTTGGGCTATCAATGCTCGCACAGACGATAAAGCAATACAACTTGGCTTCCGTGTTCGCATGAAGCTCAAGAATGGAGAGTATTTTGAATACTACCCGAAATCATCTTCTGATGGAGCTCCGATGGTCGCAAATTCCTTTGTTGATTGGATGGAGGGCTATCTTGAAGAGGAAATTATCCAAAGGCCAAGAAGATATGGCTTTGTTGATGTTGTTGTGAAAGCAGTTCCCGATTCCCTGAGACCTTTTGTTGGGGGCGCGTATACCGATGATGAAGGTAATATTGTTCCCAAGAAAAGGAAGAGAGCCCCTACTTCGGTCGAACAATCATGAAGGACAGGAGGGACTTAAATGGTGACTGTTAGCAGATAATCATGCCGAAGTTGTAAGGTAAGAAGATAATATTAGAATAAAGGAACAAAGCTCATACTCTTTGAGTGGCATATTTAATGATATTGTATTCAATTTAGAGATCCCCAAACAGTTTAGTAGGTTGGAATAGGCATAAGCAGTTGTATGAATGTTTAGGCATCATCAATAAAGAATAGGCAAGTCACACAATCATCTAGATCAACGTATAAGGAGAGTGCAAGAAATGACACATGGCTGAATCGCAAACTTAAAGCCTTCTCAATATAAGCACGGAGGAAAGCGAGCGAGACTGATTCCATTATGAGACCAAAGGTAGACAACTTGTGCACTACGGTAAGTTTAATCAAAGAGCAATTCACTGCAGATGCTTGAATGATCTGTCATAGATGGTCATCAATCATTACTTGATGGTGACCTCCTTCAAGGGTAGAGATTAGTGATGTAGAGCAGAATTCGACCTCTTTGATTCTGGGTATTTACAATATCCGGAGACATGGGGTAGAGGAAGGGAGAAAAGGGGTACCAAAAAAA